ACGAGTACCTAGGCTTACTGAACTGCCTCCAGTTCTTCCATTTCTTGTTGCCTCGGGGCCTTTGCATGGGCTGCTTCCTCCGCCTAGGATGCTCTTCCCTCTCTTTTACTTTGGGAACTCCACGGGGCTTTAGCTCACCGACCACATGCCCAGGAGGTCCAGACCAGGTCACACTCTCCTCACTTTATGCACATTATAACTTTATGTCCACTGCCGAGCTTCCACCTGTGTCGTCTGTCTCGCCCGCTTGCCCCTGCGGTATCCCCGGGGACTGCTACACAGCGTGGGCCTAAGGGGTGTGTGTTGACTGAGAGACTGAATGAGTTGAATGAGGGGTGGGTTCTGGTGGCAGTGAAGGTGGGGAAGTTTGAAATTCAGCTCACCTGCCCCTCCCACACACGAAGGATCCCCTGGCACCTCCCCAGCCACGGAATCCACTTTGAGTACCAGGAGCTTAGGGCAGCGTCTTCGCTTCATGGATGAGTCAACGCCCAAAGCCACAAAGCTCAAGGCCACGGGTGAGGCCAGGACAATGACTCCAGTCCCCAGCTTCCTGCACTAGCCCATGGGATCTTACAGCGTCATTAGGGGAGTCCCACAGTTGGCTGTTGGGTGATGACCTGGCTCCGGGGACAGGGCACCCTGCACCCCCAGGTGGCAGGTGTGAGGGCCAGACAGAGCCGTGCTGCAGCTGGAGGCCTGTTCCCTTCTCCTCCCTGGAGTCACCTCGTCCACACCCTGGGGCACCAGCCGTGCTCGGTCCTACGCCTGCTGGTCAGCTGCTGGCTAGACCCACACGCTGCCCACACGCTGCCCTCCAGGAAGGCTCTTGGGACGAATGCATCAGATGCCTGGGAAAGGCCTCCTGGCTCCAGCCCCAGGGGTCTGTCTGGGCACCGGGTGGAGCAGAGGTGTGGGCAGTTGCCAAACCAGGAGGAACTGAGTGTTTGTCTGGAAAGTTCTGGATTAAGAACCCCACTGCTTCCTGGCCTTTAGCATCCTAGAGCCCTCGTCCTTCCCAAGTTTGGATTCTCTCCACCCCTGTCTGGTGGGAAAAGACAGGATATAATGGGTTTTGGGTTTGGGGTTTTTTTCTGACCTTTGCGGTGCCCCAGCACCATGGCACTCTGCAGTCCTTTCTAGATATCATGGGTTCAGCTTGGGAGGGATCTGGGTGCTGATCTCCTGTTCCACCTCCACCCTAGTCCCTGCTCCTCAAAGTCACTGCCAAGGACCTCCATGTATCCCAGGAGGGGCTGTTGTAAACCCAGGGCCTAACCTGAAAAAGAAGTAACTGTGTTTATTTAAACTGCATTTCTGAGCACTGACCTCCGTGCATGGCTCAAAGCCCTACTGCCCAAAGGAGAGGGGTCAGAGCCCAGCCTTCCTCCCCGCCGGCCTCAGGCTGTCTCCCTAAAGGTGTGTCTTTTGTGTCACTTTCCAGAAACATTGGTGTGAACGTGGAATTCCACACTCTTCTCCCTTTTAACCACAGTAGGCCACTGCCAGTTCCTCCACTCTGCACTTGGAGGTTCACGCCAGCTCTGCCCAATAGAAGGAGACTGCCAGCCTCCACTGTCAAGTTTGAAGACAGCCTCACCCACTTAAAGCACAAAATTCAATGCTTTTTGCCATACTATATTATTTTTACCTTACATGAAAACAATCAACTGAGCCATGCCGATCAGTGCTACATTATTTTTCAAATTTTGTCCAAATAACCCTGCCTGGTGTGGCTCAGTGGACTGAGCACCGGCTTGTGAACTGAAAGGTTTCTGGTTTGATTCCCAGTCAGGGCACATGCCTGGGTTGTGGGCCAGGTCCCCAGTTGGAGCTGTTTGAGAAGCAACTGATGTTTCTCTCTCTCTCTTCTGCTTCCCTTCCCCTCTCTCTAAAAAGAAAGAAAGAGAGAGAAGAAAGGAAGAAAGAAAGAAAGAAAGAAAGAAAGAAAGAAAGAAAGAAAGAAAGAAAGAAAGAAAGAAAGAAAGAAAGAAAGGAGGGAAGGGAGAGAGGGAGGGAGGGAGGGAGGGAGGGAGGGAGGAAGGAAGGAAGGAAGGAGAAAATTTGTGGCCACATATATATGATACACAATTTGCCATTTTATCCATTTTTAAGTGGCATCCAGTACATTCACCCTGTTGTGCAACCATCACCACTATTCCCAAAACTTTTTTATCACCCCAAACAAGAGCTCCATACTCAGTAAGCAATCCCCCCATTTCTCTCTCAACGCCCCGCTCCTCCAAGCCCCTGGTAGCCTCTAGTCTACTTTCTAGCTCTATAAGTATACCTATTCTAGATATTTCATAGAAGTAGGATCATGCATATCTGCCCTCTATGACTGCCTTCTCTCACTGCGCATAATGTCCTCAGGGTTCACCCACATTGTGGCAGGTGTCAGAACCTCCTCCCTTTTGAAGGCTGAGTAATATTCCACCTTCTGGATGGACCGTATTGTGTTGATCCATCATCTTTCGATAGACATCTGGGATGTTTGCAACTTCTGGCTGCTGTGAATCATGCTGCTGTGAACATGGGTGCGTGAACATCTGTTCAAGTCTCTGCTCTCAGTTCCTTTGGGTGGGTTCCTAGGAGTGGTGTCGCTGGGTGATGTGGTAATGCTGTGCTTAGCTTTTTGAGAAACCGCCAAACTTCTTTCTGTCACATGCAACGTAATTTTCTATTTTCTTTTTTAAAAGATTTTATTTATTTGTTTTTAGAGAGAGGGAAAGAAACATCAATGTGTGAGAGAAACATCAATTGGTTGCCTCTTGCACACCCCTAACCAGGGACCTGGCCTGCAACCCAGGCATATGCCCTGACTGGGAATTGAACTAGTGACCTTTTGGTTTGCAGAATGACACCCAACCCACTGACTCACACTAGTCAGGGCTGTAATTTTCAATGTTCTAGCAGTCACATAAAATAATAGAATAGAAAGATACTAGTAAAATTAATTTTAATAATATATTTTACTTTACCCAGTATGTCCAGAGCATTATCTCAACATGTAATCAGTATAGAAGTTAATGAGCTGTTTTACATCCTTTTTTTCATATGAAGCCCTAGCAACCCAGAGTGTATTTTATACTTTAAGTACATCTCTATTTGGGTGCTGAACTTTTTTTTTAAGATTTTCATTTATTTATTTTTAGAGAGGGAAAGGAGGGAGAAAGAGAGAGAAAAACATCAATGTGTGGTTGCTGGGGGTCATGGCCTGCAACCCAGGTATGTACCCTGACTGGGAATGGAACCTGCGACACTTTGGTTCGCAGCCCGTGCTCAATCCACTGAGCTACGCCAGCCAGGGTGGGTGCTGAACTTTTAACAGCTATAGTAAAATGGGTTCCTACTCAGTGAAGTTTCACTGAGTTTATGCTGTTCAGTTTTAAGTTTACATTTGAAGGTCAACAACATTGACACTTCAGTCCCTCTGTTGGGATTAGCCACATGGCACGTGTCAGCAGCCTTCTGAGGCTGGTGGCTCCACACAGGACAGCGCAGAGTCAGACCAGACTGCAGTCGTGTGCCACTTGATGGCGGGGGGGACGTTCTGAGAGTAGGTGCATCTTAAACCACTCCTCATATCACTGGTTTCCCTTTCTTAAAACTTCTAGCCCTGGCTGGTGTGACTCTGGGGACTGAGCACCGGCCTGCAAAATGGAAGGTTGCTGGTTCCATTCCCGTCAAGACACCATGACCGTGTTGCGGGTCAGGTCCCTGGCTGGGGGCAGGGGGGAGGCCACCGATTGATGTCTCTCTCCTTCTCTTTCTCCTTCCCTCCCCTCTCTCTAAAAAGAAATAAAATTTTTAAAGATTATTTATTTATTTATTCTTAGAGGGAAAGGGGGAGAGAGAGGGAGAGAAACATCAGTGTGTGGTTGCCTCTCACATGCCCCCCACTGGGGACCTGGCCTTCAACCCAGGCATGTGTCCTGACTGGGAATCGAACCAGCAACCCTTTGCTTTGCAGGCCGGTGCTCAGTCCACTGAGCCACACCAGCCAAGGCAAGAAATAAAATCTTAAAAAAAAAATTCTACAGCAACGAATACTGCTCAATAGAGATACAATACAAGCCACACGTATAAATTAGTATTTTTCTAGTAGCCACGTTTTTATGTGAAGTTTTGGCAATCTAGAGTGTATTTTATAAAATTGATTTAATAATATCCTTTCTTTAACCCAATAGATCCAAACTAGTATTATTTCAAAATGTGATCAGTATTCAAGTTATTGAGATATTTTCATTCTCTTTTTATTCTTAAGTCTTGGAAATCCAGTGTACCATTTATGGCAGCACACCTAATGCAGACCCTCCCTTCTTTTTTTTTATCCTCACCCCAGGACATTTTCTTATTACTTAAAAAAATTTTTTCATTTATTTATCTCCAGAGAGAGAGGGAGGGAGGAAGGGAGGAAGAGAGGGAGAGAAACGTCAGTGTGTGGCTGCCTCTTCTGTGCCCCCAACTGGGGACCTAGCCCATAACCCAGGCATGTGCCCTGACTAGGAATCAAACCAGCAATGCTTTGATTTGCAGGCTGGCACTCAATCCACTGAACTACCCAATTTTCTTATTATTTTTAGAGAGAGGAGAAGGGAGAGAGAAAAACACCAATTGAACCCTCAACCTTGGCATGTGCCCTGACCAGGAATCAAACCCACAGCCATTTGGTCTACAGGCCAACGCTCTAACCAGCTGCGCTACTACACCAGCCAGGGCCAGATCCTCACTCTTCACTGTAGATACTTAATCTGTACTTAGACTCCATAAAACACAGAACGGAAGAAACAGATTTGCACATCCAAGATGTTCCAAATGTACTTAAAAGTTTTCCAATCACTAAATTGAGAACCAGACATTTTTTTTGGTTTGGGTTTACTATTTATTTTCAAGTTGTTTTTGATTTACAGAAGAGAGGGTCCATTTTTAAATGTGAATGAGCGGTAACGACTCCCATTCCTCAGACACAACAGGCACAATTCAAGAGCTCAGGAGCCATGCCGGGCTTGTGGCCAGTGAGTTGGGTGGTGAGGGTGTAGAACAGTTCCCGGATGCAGAAAGTTCTAGTGGACCACGCTGGGCTGTAGATTTGGGCTCCGCCTGCAAAGTGGGAGAGAAGTTTGGGGTTATATTGAGAGGGGAGAGTGGAGGTTCTGGATCATGATGGCTGGAGCTGTGTGTGTTTAGGCAAGAGACAGATGTGTCTCTAGGCCTCAGTTCTCTCGTCTGTGAAATGGGCAGCTCCAGGGCTGCACACCTGAGGAGGTAGATTTCTGCTCCAGTCGTTGGAGTCCGGGATCTGGGGGGACTTTGTGACCACTGGTGGGGACAGGAAAGACTGGGAATTTTGGGAAATCAGCCAGCACAGACTCAGAGAATCTGTTTTTGAGTACTTATTGAACATGAAACACCAAGTAAATATAAAATCCAGTTCACACTGACATCCCTGAGTGCTTTTTTTGCTGTGCCTGCAAACAGGCCAGGCTCTCTTTCACCTCCGGGCTTTTGAACCTCCGTTTCTTCTGCCAGGAACATTCATCCCCCTGACTCCTACTCGACCTGGTGAGCTCTTACATAACCTTCAAAACCCAATCCTATTGGACCCCTCCCAGACAGAGCCCTGGATTTAAGCCTCAATTCCGAGGCACTGGAAGCTTCTTATAACTAACTCTGTCTTCTGCCCCAGACTGGGGAAGAGTCTAAGAAAGCTGAGAAAAGGTCAAGGTGGCACCTAGCAGCTGTTGGGACCCACCCCACCTTCCCTGGGAACCCCTGCCCGGGTGGAGATGTCGTGTTGCCTAGTGCCTAGGAGAAAGCGGCCTCGGGTCACTGTTTTCGTTGGGATTCCAGCTCTGCCATCTCCTCACTCTGAGCCACTTGGCCTTGGTTTTCTCATCGGTAAAATAGGAGTCACACCAGTGCCTGTCTCAGGACTCACGAATATTAACTTTGGTCACCCACGCGTGCCCCCTGGGCGTGGGTTATTATTTTTGTTATTGATGATGCTGTCTCCACTCCCCCTCCTCCCAGCTGCTCTGACCCATGGGTCCACTCAGCTGGGCCAAGACATGATGTCCCTGGCGCCATTATCTCCTTGGGGTGCTGCTGCAGCTGCTTTTGGCGGTGTGCTTCTTCTCCTACCTGCAGTGTCCCACAAGCCCATGCAGTCCCCTTGGTTGACAATGGGCTCTCTCACCACAGCTCCCAAAGGGTGCGCAGGGTCAATGTCCTCTGAAGGGACCCTGCTGGGCCACCTTGGGCTCCCCGCCCAGCTGCCCCTGCTGCTTCTGCTGCGGGCGTGGACACCCAACATCCCACACCTCCGTCCACTGCCCAGAGCTGTGGCCCAGCCTAGCCAACTGCCAGCGTGTACCTTCGGGTGGGTGCAGCCCCCGTGCATCCCTGAGAGGTCAGCTACCAACCACAGGCACAGCTTCCGCCTTTCCCCGGCCACCCAGCCAGTGCTGGGTCTGGTTCAACCTGGACCTGCCTGGCCACGGTCCACCACTGAAGGTCCTGTATGGACACTTCACTCTTACCGTACCCTACCACACAGACTCGGACATAACATGGTAGGGCTGGTTTGAGCCGTGACCCAGCCAGCTGGCCGGCACACCGGTCAGCCTCTCAGCCAAGAGTGAGCTGGTGGCCGGATGGTGTCCACTGGAGGAAGGATTTGACTAGATACTTTAGGTTCACCTCTAAGTGGACATGTGCAGGGGCTCCACAAGCCACTGCCCCACCGGTCATGACCAAGTGGCTGTCCCAGGACAAGTTTTACCTGGCTTTTGACAACTTGTACCCCAACTGCATCACAGAGAAGCCGTGGAAGAATGCCCTGCAGGCCTGAACCTCGACCATGGTGTTGAGCCCCAGCAGAAGCAACAATTCCTGGCCCCAATACCTTTATCCACTTTACGGCTTCCAGAGTCCCAAGGAACTGGCCAGGTATCTGCTAGTGGTGGACAAAGACCACACCCACTACCTGAGTTACTTCTGCTGGCAGGAGACACTGCAGCCTCCATCCTTCTGCTGGGACCTGATATTTTTCGAGGCTTGCTGGAGGCTGCACCAGGAGTCCAGCCACACACAGTGACCAGCATGGCCTCCTGGTTCACACGGGCCGACCAGCCAGTGGCCTCACATGCCAGTCACTTCTGATTTCAGGAACCTCACCTGCCAGGGACCTCACTTGCTGGGGCCGGGGCGCTGGGGGATGGGGACTCACCTGCTGGGGATGTGGGGTGCTGGGGACTTCACCCACCAAAGCACACATTGCCTGGCCTCAGGTCCCTCCCACTAGGCCCTGCTGGATCTGCTTGTGGTCATTGCCGCTGGTGTAACTGCCTGTGGGGCAGGCAAGACAGTGCAACGTTGGCACTGTCTCCCAGATGAAATGCTCCAATGAAAACTGATGTGTGCTCCCTTACTCTAGAACAGAGGTTCTCACTCCAGGGCAACCCTGGAGTCCCCCAGGGGACACTCAGCAATGTCTACATTTGTAGCTGTCCAGACTTAGAGTGGACTGATAGCATCAAGTGGGTGGGGGGTCAGGAGTGACACCCAGAAGCCTTCATGGCCCCCCAAATCCAGAAGAGTCTGGCCAAAAATGTCAAGAGGTGGAGAACCCCTTAAAAGCAAGCCCATCAGGCAGACAGGAGAGAGTAAGGCCCAGAGGGACTAGAAAGTGGGGGCCAGGCTGTCTTGGGGTCAACATGAGGCAGGGCTGGCACAAGGATGGGACCACCCCTTGAAGGAGGTCAAGGGGAGGGAGTGTGATTCTGTGTGTGCGACACGTGATGATCATGCAGGGCCAGGAGCATGGCCGTCAGCAAGGGTGTGTGAGGCTGTGTGTGACGGAGTTCGCAAACCTGTGTCCTTTTTTTTAGAATGAGTGGTGACTCTGAGGGAGCCCCTCTGTGAGTGTGCAGTTCCAAGTGTGAATAAAAACTGCGTGTTTAAGCATGTGGGCTGTGGGCCTGGGTGTGATGCTGTTAAGCCCATGTGGGTGGCAGTCTCTGTGCTGTGTGTGTGTGTGTGTGTGTGTGTGTGACCTGAGCTGAGAACCCCCGCCCCAGGGGTCTGTGGGGCGCCCTGTTTACATTTCAATTATTTAGTGGGCTAAGCCAGAGCTCTGTGGTTGGGATGTTGGATCCGGGTGGGAGACAGGGAGGTTAAGGTCCCAGGAGGCCGGGGGCGGGGGGTACAAACACACACACACACACACACACACACACACACACAGTAGAAGCCAATCTTCAGGGACTACAAATGCAGGCTTCAAGGACAATTTTTCCACTGTATGTCCTGAGCTCAGCATTGTCCCTCTTTAAGGATCAGGGCCATCTAGGATGGGGAAACTGAGGCTCAGCTTCCACAGTGTCTGGGGACTCCAGCCTCTCTGCCACGCCAGGATGAGTCAACCCAAACAGTGGAGGAATCCACCTCCCCAAACCTCAGAGACAGAATACTGCGGGGGCAGGCAGGGGCCCCAGCCAGCCTCCATCCTGCAACTGTCTTCCAAGCAGACCACCCACTGGCTGGGGCCTGGCTGCCAAGCCATGTTCTTGGAGCTCCAAGTAAGTCCTGCTTGTTAGCTGCCTCCAGTTTCTCTAGCTACAACCGGGACCCTGGGGAGCAGGGAGCTGGGGAGCGTTTCTGCCTGGCTATGTGATCCTCCTTGGGGACAGCTTCTGATTGGAGCCCTCCAGCTTCTGGACCCGGATTGGGTCTGGAAAGGATGTGGTGGTTAGAGGGTGGTCTTGAACTCAGATGTGTGGGAAAGAAGGAATGGGGCCAGTCTAGGGAAACAGTAAAGGAGGGGAGGGGGTGTTCCTTTGGAAGTCCCCAGTATGAGGGGCTGAGGAGGAAGGGTCCACACCCGCTAGTCTTTTAGATGACAGCCCTGAGCCCAGCTCGAAGCGCCCGCCCCCTCACACGCCCCTTTTCAGACCAGGGGACCCCCTCATCCCTCCCTGTGCTCTGGGAACTCAACACTCTGAGCCCTTCCTGGGCCTGCCAAGCATCAAGGTGACACCGCGGGCAAATATAAACCCCGCCCAGCGCTTTTTCCGTCCTCTGCTGGGGCTCGTCATAAATCGCCCCTCGAGCTTCGGGCAGGGTTTTTATGCGCCAGGACCTAGATCCCTTGGGGCTGGCTCTGCCCCAGCAGGCGCCGGTTTTGGGCTGGACCGGGCTGGCGTCCTCCCCAGATGTATCCCCACAGGGAGATGGGCAGCACACAAATATTTTTAGCTAGTAAAGGAAGATAGCGTCTTCGAGGTCGCTCTCGTGGGGGCTGATCCGGCGTGAGGATTCTCATCAGGTGAAGGGCGCTCGGGTCCTCCTGGACCTGTCTCTTCTGCAGAGTGCCTCCACCTTCTCCTACCAACCTCCATTCTCCCCTTTCCCTCCCCGGAAGCGCACACTGTGTGGAGGTGAGGATGGGACACCTGGGGAGACAGGGTCCAGCTGGACTCGTCTCATCTACACAGTGACTCCATCTTCCCCCGGAAACACATCTTGCTGGGACGGAACTCGCGGGGGAGGAGCAGAGACCTGCCGGGAGATACGATGGACGGTCCCTGACGACACGGCCCCCATTCCCCCTATTTTTCCGCTTGTACCCTGAGAACCCTCTTTAAATATTTCCTTCCCCCCAAAGCAAACGGGATCCTCCCGCCATCCTGCAGGTGATACCCACCCGCACCCATCCCCTTTCTCCCAATGGAGATGGCGCCGCTTTCCCACACGCCCTCCCCCTCCAAGAGGCGGACACCCCTGGTGCGCACAATCGAGACCCAGCTCTATTTTCCACACTTTATCTATGTACAGTTATCGCAAGAGTCCCGAGGCCTCGACGGCATCTTCAGCGCCTGGGCAGTCTGTGGCGGGGTTTGCCAGGCGGGGCTGTGGGTGCCGTCGGGGCAGGGGAAGTGGCCGCCGTCTGGCCGGGACCGGTGAGGTAGGGTCACACGCAGGCGCACTCGCGCGCCGACAGCTCGTGCACCGTGTGATAGCGGCTGTGCGCGTCCAGGAAGGACACTTCGTCCTCGTAGGCCGTCGGGCGGCAGCAGGGCTGCGCGCGAACCCTCTCCCGCCGCACGCGCCGCCGCTGGCGCAGGCGCCGCAGGCCCAGGTCGTAGACGCGCGCGGCCGCCTCGCACGCGCCTGCGCAGTAGCGGAACAGCACCGTCTCGTCCGACGCGTAGCCCAGGCCCAACTCGCTCACGCGCACCTCGAGTTCGCGCAGCCCGCACGGCCGCGTCCCCGACCGCGCACGCGCGCGCCGCCGCCGGGGTCCCGCTCGACGGCGGGGACTCGGGGGCCGCCCGGCCCACGGCGTCAGCTTGCGCAGGTCCACGGCATCCGGGGCTCCCTGCAGCAGTGCACGGTCTGCGAGGGGAGGGAGAAAAGGGGATGGGGGTCAGCGGGTGGCGAGAGGGAGCCTCCTCCCGTCGATGTTCTACTGCAAAAAATGACCCTTCAGGGGACGCTGGGGCGCCAGCGCATCTGCCTGGGCAGTGTTGGAGGGGTGCATATCCAGACCCCCATGCTTGGTCCCCAAGGCTACCAACACCTTTCTGGACGCTGCTCCTATGCTGAGCTGCTCAGAGCCTGGCTAACCCCTCCTGGGTGCCCTGGACCACTTTCCAGCCTGCCCCACCTGAGCTGCGCTGATCTGGGTGTCTCAGCCACTCTAGGCACCGCCCCGCCAACAGTACTGTCTGTGGGTCCCATCCTTATGCTGGGCTGCCCCAAGGTACTGACACACCCTGTCTGACCAGTGTTGGAGTGCTGCTTCTCCCATCCCAACCCCTCACCCTTTAGTTGAACTGTATGGGTCTGTTTCTCTGGGGTCCCCCACCCAAAGCCCCCACATTTCCTCTGAGCCCCTGGGCTGCTCACAACCCTCCATCCTGTCCCTACTACTCCACTCAGTTCCCCCATCCAGAAACCCAAATAGAGGTGTTTGGGCTTCTCGGAACATACAGAAGAGCAGCAGGCACTGAGGCCTGTGTACGGACGCCAGGACATGGAGTGGCAGCAGCTATTGTCAGGGTCACTCTCATGTTACAGATAAGGAAACTGGGCACCCAAAAGAGCAGACGTGCCCAAGGCTCTACCACCAGCAGGTGGCAGGGAGAGACACAAACCCAGATAGCATTCTTCCTGCCTCTATCAAGTGCCCAAGTTTGGCCCAAGTTCAGCCCTCTTCTCCCACAGCTGCCGGGAGGTGCCCAGGCTCACAGAATCCCAGGGTCCTGTAGCCTAAATTTATTTCCCAAGAGACTGGCCCTGCCCCAGTACAGTAAGTGCTTACTGTACATCGTTGGTAGGTTCTTAGAGCTGCGGCGAAACAACAAAGAATGAAACCAGTTTTACCAAAGACTAATTGACATAAAGAAGAGTTAAGTTCCTAAGGCATCTCATCGTTATAACAAAACTAAGTTTGAGGAAATAACTTTATTTGAGAACCTGTTACACTCCGCAGCCCCAGGACAGAAGCACAGGGGTTGGAATGGCTGTTGGGAGGCTCCCAGCCCCTGACAGGTTGCAGTCACGCTTGTGGTTGGGAGAAGAAATCCTGAGTTTAGCCTCCACCTGCCCCCAAGGCTGGCATACCTGGCTGTCAAAACAAGTAAAAGGGTAGCCTGAGGGGGAGGGACTGTCGCCCTGGGGGTGTCTGTTTCCACAGGGGATCTCAGAAAACAGACAAGCCCCCGTTCTGAGCCTAGCTCTGCCGCTGTCTTTGTACAACTTCAGGTATGTGACGACCCTTCTGTGCCTGTCTCCCTCTCTGCTCTGCCTGCTTGCAGAGCTTGCTGAATCCCTGCTGTGTTTGTGGCTGGGAGGGTGGAAAGTGGGGGGCAACAGAACAGCCTTTTCTGAGTTCTTGCAGCCCAGAAAGAGGACCAGGATGACCAGCACTGTCTGCTCTGGATTTAGGTTTGAGCCTGGCTCACTTCTGGTGCCTACGGTTGCCCATTTAGTGTGCACACCCCGAGGTGTGCATCTAGAGAGCTTTTTGGGAGGTTGCCAGATGAAATACAGATGCCCAGTTAAATTTGAATTTCAGATAAACAGTGAATAATCTTTTAGCATATCTGTCCCTGCATCCCTCCAGCAGGCCTGGCCACGTGCACAGGGTCTGGAACGCAAAGAGATGAAATGTGCTCCCTGCTCCCCCACCCCCACCCCCAGCCTGAAATTCCACCATCAGCGCATTAGTCCCAGGGACTAGAACATTAGGCCTTGGGGGAATCAGCAGCCACTCCCTTCCTGTGGTACAGCTGGGCACAGGGATAGGACACAGGACTGGCAGGCACCACCCATGGGCTGAGATACTTCCTAGTAGATTCCATCATTGGTGCTTTGCTCCCAGAACCTGGAGCACTAGCTTTGGGGGCCCTACCCTGGTCTCTGGGACCCACCCAGTGTCCTGGAAAGGACTCTGTGGTCTACAATGGCAGGGGGTGGGGGTGGGAGCAAAGTCCATGCTGGAGGCCACCCCTGTGCATTATGCAGACAAGAAAGGACTGTGTGGTCTGACAGGGCGGGTGTGCGTGTGGTCGCCACCCGCAGGCACCATGCATGCGCCAGGCCTGCACCTACATCCTGGCCGCCCACACGGGCACACCATGTGGACATGTGCATGCACACACAAGGTCAGGGCCCACGCAGAACTAATACAGGACAGGCGCCAGAGGCACGTGGGGAGTTGGATCAAGTGGCCACATTCCCCAGGTGGGTGTTTCATTCCTCTACCTCCCTGCCTTTTCCACATCGGTCTCTCCCACCCTCGTCTGTCTGTCTCTGTTTCTAGGTCTCTCTCTGTCTTCCCCTTAGCCCCTATCAACGCATGCAGGTCACTGGGGCCTCCAGTCCAGCTCCCCTTCCCCACACTGTGCTGTGGGGGGCCACCCAGCTGAGCTCCTAGGTCTAATCTCCATCTGGCCCTGGACCCCCGAGGGACAGAGCCTAATTCCTTGTGACAGTTGAGCCAAGAGACCCCAGTTCCCAGGAGCCATCCCCCGCTTCCAGGCCTTTGGGGGACTTGCACCCTCCCTCCACCCCATCTTTAAAAAGCCTCTGTGGCCCGGTTCCACTGCCTGAAATCCCACCAGTATGGCCAACTCTATGTTGGGGGTATCTGACCCGAGACCGGGAGAGGGGCTTACACTGGGCCAGGCGGGTGATCCGGGCATCCAGGGTGCGAGGTGGCCGGCGCAGCGGGGCTAATGCGGGTCCAAGGCGTTGGTTGAGGAGCAGGCCATCCCGACACATCCAGATGGAGAGCACAGAGCTGCACAGGACCGAGGCCAAGGCCGCTGCCTTCCAGCGCTGCATCCTTGGCCTGTGGGCATGGGATGGTCAGCCCAACAGCCTCAGTCCGCCAGGCAACAAACAGGCATGGGGTACTGTGCCAGGCACTGGGGACACAGTGGGGCCTCTGATTTTGAACCACTGCTGCTTAATGATCAATAATAACAGACATGATTTAGCAAGGAACCACCAGACGTGGTTGTGAATAGCACTGCTAAGGAGGGGTGGGCGTGGTGCCAGAAGTATCAGGGGAACTGCCTCACCTGGGGACCCCAGAATGCTTTCCTGAGAGTTGAGGAAAGCTGAGAATTAAACAAAGGTAGCAGCTGGCCAGGTAGAAGAGAGTGGTATCTCAGGCAGAGGGAACAGCCAGTGCAAAGGCACTGAGGCTGAATCAAGCTTGGCCAATCCATCCAGGAGCCCAGTGCATGTAGGGAAAGGGTGAAAAGTGAAGGCATTCCCAGTAGGGGGCACTGTGGGGTAAGGGTGGCCAGGAGGCCGGGTGCTTTGAATAGTCTGGGAGGCAGAAACCTTTGGATTGAGTCTTTGTTCCTTAACTAAGATGTCCTTGGTTGTGACTTCCTGCCCCTTTCAGAGCCTGGGTTTACTCTCTAGACAGGTAAACTGATTCCCAGGAATGGGCTGCAATGAACCAAAGCTGCTCTGGAGCCACTTCCAGGCTATTGCACAAGCTGGTCCTTCCACCCAGAACACTATTCTCTCCCTCCCCACTTCTGTTCCCCTTCAGGTTCCTCTTGGGCCAGCACCTCCCCCAGGAAGCCTTCCCTGACTGCTCCCCACCCCAGGCCCTGAGCATCCCCCATTACAGCACCCATTACTCGGTGCTGTGACTGCCTGGGAGCATCGTGCTTAGTGCACACAGTGTTTAACCCTCGTGCACCCGCACAACCGAGTCAGAGCAGCTCCCTGCTGCCTGGCGGCCCCTGGCCCTCGTTTACATTCCCCCACCCGGCTGCCTGGTGCCGGCCGCGCGGGGCCTGGCGACAAGCCCGGTGTAAACATTTACACAGAGCGCTGAAAGCCGGGCTGGACGTGGGTCAGCAACTGGGCTCGGCCGTGGGGTGCCGGGCGCCCCCATGGGCGCACCTCTATGCACAGGCTGCTTGCCAGGGCTAGGGGCGATTATTTGCATTTCATTTGCATGTGATTCACGTAGGCCTAGCGGTGGGCGCTCTCACCAATGCACTGGCACAGGACCTAGGCCCAGCAGACAGTAACAATGGGTATTCATGAAGCGCCTGCTCTGTGCAAAGACCCCGTGCTGAGCCCAGGAGAGACCCACTGTTACCTCCATTTTACAGCTGAGGAAACTGAGGCACAAAACAGACAGGAAGGGGCTTGTTCAAGGGCATTTGGCTAGAAAAGGACCTGAGATTCCAATGCTGCCTCTTTAACACCAGGCACATCACATGGGCTGGACTGGACCGGGCGGTGCTTCGGAGCAGAGGCTGTCGAGTCACTCCAAGGACTTGCCACTATGTGGTATCACAATTCTTATTGCTGTCGGTGGCGGTGGTAGAGAGTGAGCTCCCAGACGTGGGGGCATGTAAACAAACCCTGGCCAGGCTGGATATCTGAGGGCATGGCACTTGCAAAGGCCTGGGGGCAGGACCAGGCCCGGCTGGTTGAAGGAACAGGGAGGCGGCCCCTGTGACTGGGGCTGAGTGAGGCAGGGGAGGTGACAGGGCAGGTTGTGTGGGGCCTTGTGGGCTGCAGGGAGAATATTTCATTATCAAGGTTGTGCAGCAAGCAGGGGTCAGCCATTTGTCAGGTGACCAAAGGCCCCCCCCTTTTTAAAATTTTTTATTTATTGATTTGAGAGAGAGAGAGCACAACACTGATTTGTTGTTCCACTTCTTTATGCATTCATTGGTCAATTCTTGTATGTGCCCTGACCAAGGATGGAACCCCGCAACCTTGGCGTATTGGGAAGACACTTCAACCAAGTGACCTGCCCGGCCAGGGCACCCCCTTTCTTTCTTTCTTTCTTTATTAAAGATTTTACTTACTTTTAGAGAGGAAGGGAGGGAGGGAAACATCGATGTAAGAGATCAACATCGATTGGCTGCCTCTTGCATGCCGGACTGGGGACCAAACCCACAACCCAGGCACGTGCCCCAGCTAGGAATCAAACCAGCGACCTTTCGCTTTGAGGAAAGACACTCAACCAACTGAGACACCAGTCAGGGAAATCCCCTTTATTCTTAATGAGCACCTACTATATGACAGATCCTGTTCTGTAAACAGTGCATATTAATTCATTTCAACCTCACAAAAATCTTCATCCCATTTCACAGATGGGGAAACTGAGGCCTATAGTAACATGACTTACCCAAGGTCACAGAGCTGAGATTGGAACTCTGGTGGCTGCAACCCCTAGTAGGGGGAGATCGCAGGGGAACCCACCGAGGCTCAAGACCTCGGGTGAACCCGGCTTTCTCAGTCCCAATGCCCCGCTCGCTCTCACACCCAAACCTTGGGGCAGCGTGCTTCAGCCTCTCTGTTGGAGCCAGGCCCCTGCGCAGCCCCAGGCTGTGGTCCTGACTCTCCTAAGGGCTTAAGAGGGGACTGAGAGGGTGGGTGAGCCAAGAGCCAAAAGATGGCCTGGCCAGAGGACTTCCTCCCCACCCCTCCCCCGCTGGCCTTGAAGTGGCAGACCCCACCAGAGCTCTGATGGGGGACAGGAAAGCAGGGGGGCTGACAGTGGAGGGGGCCCAGCACATGCCAGCTGATAAGCATCTGTTAACAATGGGCCTTTCTGTAAGGGGGTCACCCAACTGGTTTGTCTCTGGCACAGACCTGACCCTGAGAGGGCGACGTGGGTGTGGCGGAGGGCATGGGGAGGGCCCAGGTGTGCTTGTGTAATGGAGGCCTCTAGACTCGGGCAGGTGGGTGCCTCGCAGTGCATTCGGGGCTCACGCTCATTCAGACCCAGCATTCTCATTCTTGCACACACTGCGTCCCACTCACACATGGGTGTTGGGTGTTTTTACACTGTCAAACAATATCCCACTTACACACTCAATGTTTTCATACAGTCATGCATTTGGACATTTTTACATACATTGAAACCCTCACATTCACACACCTCAGCACTATCACATACATATTTGGGAGTTCTCACACACACAAACACGATCATACTTACACACTAGGGTGTTTTCACACTCCTACTCAAACACTGCCACATACTTGGATATTCACATCATTAATCTTCTAACATCACACACACTTGCACACAATCACACACATGTTTTCACACTCAAACATTATCAGAAACACATGGGAGCATTACCATACTCACACAGTTTCACACTCACACACTTGGGTATTTTTAGACGCATGCATCACAACACTCGCATACTACCACGGGCACAAGGTACTGTGTTTCACACCCATGCACTTCCATACTTGGACAATTTATATTACACTCAAACACAATCACACTGAAACAGTACCATGCTCATGCAGTAGTGTGACTCTGCATTCTGGCTACATGCTCATGCATGCAGGGGCACACACACGTGCACACCCTCAGTGCTGTTGGCTTCTCACTGCTAAGATACCAGAGGAGCAGTGAATGGCACCCTCATGGCGGGCTGAGGGTGAGGCCCCTGGAAGTGGAGGAGGCAGAATGACCCAGGAGAGAATTGCCCTGCCCCAGCCCCTGGCACCCAGCCAGGGTTCACACCTGCTGGCATCTCAGGTGCCACCCACACTGCCCCGATGGGGACCGGTCAGTTCCCTCCCAAGCCCTCAGACAATGTCCAGACCCTGGAGAGTCCTCACTGTAGGGGGAAGGGAGCAACTTTCCTACTTAGGGGCCAGGCCAGTCTGAGCTGCAGCAAGAGGGATCAAGACTAGACCTCCATCTCTAGCTGGAGGCCACAGTATCCCCAGGGCTGGAGTGGGGCGGGAGGGGAATCTGAGACTCGGAGAGGAGCAGTGATAAGTAGCCCAAAGTCAGTCAACCAGGCAGGTCCAATCACCCAAGGAGCAGGCATTCAGGGTGAAGGTGTGTGGGTGTTTCTGGCAGCTTCCTTGGTGGTGCCAGGAAATGCTGCTCATTATCCTGGTGTCCAGGCAACACCCTGGGGCACCACCTGTCCACAGACTCCCAGGGACATCCACCAGGCATACTTGTTCCCAGGGTGAACAGCCTGTTCTGAAGAGCTCCTGGCCTCAGGGAGGCACCTGCTTCATGCTTGTTCCCAGGAAGGATGAGAGGTGACCCCTCCCTCAATCCACTCGCCCCTTCAGTCTGGGGAGGCCTGTAATTGGGGCCTGTCATCATTGGGCAAACTCCTACTCATCCTTCAAAGCCCTACATCCTAAAGCCTCTTCTCCAGGAAGACTTCCCTGCTCCCCATCTTGGCACTTCTGCCACAGGCCCCTCCCTCTTGCCCAGCCCTGCAGCATAGTGTGGACGTCCATGCCTGTCTTTCCTGGGGCAGGAGTTTCTGGAGGGGCAGCCTGGGCTGGGTTATTGCAATAATTCTGTTCACAGAGGCATGAGCTGGCTGCAGCTCTCCAGTCTCCACGCTTTTGGTGCCTCCCTCCACGTGCTCTCTTCTTCCTTTCTCCCTCACTCCTGGACAATCCCTGGTCCTCCCATAACTCAACTTCCCCATCTTCGGAAAGTCTCCGAAGGGGGTCACCCAGCACTGTGGGAATGCCTGAAGGACCTGGGAGGGCTCGATGGGGTGACTAGCAGGGCTGCCATCATGGCCCACGGCAGAGCGAGCCGGCCTGTGGAGCCACACTGGCAGACGTGGGGGTGGCCTGCACACCCAAGGAAGGCGTGTGTCTGTGAGCACGGACCACAGCACATGGGCTCCAGACGGCCGAGTCTGGGTCCCTGCTCTGCCTCTTCCTGGCTGGGTAACATGCTCCTCTTCCTCTCGGAGTCTCGGTTTCCCCATCTGTACAACGGACTGCCCGGGAGCCCTCCCTCATTTGGAGGGCCATTTAATAAATTCAGTGAAGTTCTGCAGACCAGGCCAATGGCAATGGCTGGGCCCAGCCCTCGGACACACGTTCTTGCAGGCCTGTACCTCTGTTTCCCCCGTCAGCACTGACAGCTCCGCGGCTGGCAGCTGGGCTTGCTCCTGGGAGAGCCCTGCTCGTCTCCTCTCCCCCTCTGGCCTCTGGGGGTCCACTGATGGGGAAACTGAGGTCCCATGATGGGTGGGACTTGGGCCTCTCTCGAGGCAAGACTCAATGGTTCTGCAAAACAAGAAACAAACTCTGCAGCCCACAAAAATGTGTCCCCTCCCTTGGAGAGCCCCAGGGCCCAGCCCCACCCACAGTGGGGACGGGGAGGCCAGGGCAGTCTTGAGCTGGCAACACACATCTGGGGGTAAACCAGGAACATCTGGCTAGCACAGCTGGTTCTGATGCTGCATGTGGAGGGGCTGGGGCCAGCCCATGAGACGGCCTCATGGCGGGCACAGTCAGACACCCCCAGCAGACCATACCCTTCCAGGCCTGGCCAGAGGTGGCGGCATAGCCTCTCTTCTTCTTCCCCCAGCCCAGGAGCTGCCTGCTGCTCAATGCTAGCACCATGGCTGGCCCCTGCTGCTCTGAGGATTGAGTGTCAGCCCGAGCTCCTGTTAAGGGGCTCTGGGTTTGTCGTGGCCAAAGTGCAGCTGAGGGGGGACAGACACAGAGAGAGTGGCTTATGGAGAGGACCGTGCTGGTTGTTTTGTGATAATAATAGTAGTACAATAATCACAGCTTACAGTAACCCTAGCAAACAACACTATTGGTATAAGCAATTTACATATAATGACTCATAGCAAGGTATGGACTATTTTATTCCCATTTTATAGATGGGAAAACTGAGGTCCAAAGAAGTGAAGTTACTTGCTCATGTCAAACAGAGTATCAGTGGCCAGCCTGGGATTTGAACTCAAGTGTTTGGGCAAACTCCTACTCATCCCTCAAAGCTCCGGCCCCAGTACCCACTCCTCCACATTCTTAACCATGGCCTCTCTAACAACAATAACATTAACACCTGGCAGTGTCGGCTATTCCATTTATTTAGTGCCAAGCACTGTGCTAAGGGCTTTCCATGTGTTTAATTCTCCCCACCGTCCCTGAAAATATTATTATTACTAGCCCCGTTTTCCACGAAGAGTAACTAAGGCTTGGAGAGGTAGAGTGACTTGTTCAAATAAGTGGTTGAGCTGAGGTTGAACCTGGGTCTGACATCAGACTTGTTCTATCAACAGCTCCACAACCCCTGGGCTCTGGATAACAGGGTAATGAAGAAGGGAGGGGAGACACAGGGAGGGGATGATAGGCTCCACTGTTTGGGGGAAAAATAGGGCTGAGCTTCAGGGAAGTAAGCATTTCCTCAAAGACACACAGCAGAGCAGAACTAGCAAGTGAATAAAGGGCCAGAGATGGCAGAAAGCCCAGGCTGCCTGGCTGGGCTCTGCCCCTAACACGTTAACTCAGCAAACACTTACGGAGCCCCTACTGTGTGCTGGGCCAGGCAGGGAACTCTGCATGACCAAGGCCAACCTGGGCCCCACCCTTGCCAACTCACTGTCCAATTAGGAATGGATTATAAATAATAAATAAACATGGTAATTTAGATGTTGACAGTGAAACAAAAAAAGAAAAAACAAGGTAAAGCAGTAGTGACTAGGAGCAGCTCTGAGGCTGAGTGGTCAAGGAGTGCTTCTCAGAGGAGGCAGCATTTACGCTAGGACCAAGTGAAGATCTGAGGAGAGCATTCCAGGTGCGGGGAACTACAGGAGCGATGGCTGAGGCAGGACGGTGACTGTTCAAGGTGACCAGGGTGACTGGAGCAGCAGAGCCAGGGAAGAACAGGGAGATGAGGTGGGAGAGGGCACAGGGACCCCGTGACCCGCCTGCGGGGCCAGTCCTCCCCTCTGCATGGGTGCCTGGAGCCCTCTCCCTGCATCTGCTCTGTGTTCTCAGGGAGGCTGGGCTGGTGTGTGTGTGTGTGTGTGTGTGTGTGTGGCTCGGGGCCACAGTTTTTCAGACCCAAGGACCCACCATTTCTAGCCCAGCCTTCTGCACTGGCCCATAAAATTCTCACCTTGACCACACCAGGCTGGTCTGGGGCTGGCCCCAGAGGCATATGGGACAGGCAGGAGGGGGCTGCCTGGGGTAGGATAACAGGATCAGCCTAATGAGGCCTGGCACAGCGCACAGCTGAGCAGCTGGTGTGGGGCCCGGCAGGTGGCGTGAGGGTTGTGGGTGCTCTGAGGGTGGCCAAGACATCACACAAAGCTAATCAATGGACAGGAAGGGAAACTGAGGCACGGGCCCCAGGCTGAGCTCAAACCTTAACACTAGTTTCCTGGGAACCAGGGCACCTGAGTCACTTCTTCCATCTCCCCAAGTTCAAATGTTGCCTCAGGTCCCCACCACACTGAGCTATTTAGGCACAAATGGTGTCCTCTCTCTGGGCCTCATTTTTCCCCCTTGAGAAGTGAGATCTATCTGTTGCCAGCAGGGGCCACCCACTAATTTCTTCCTGCCCTGGGCCCCTCTGCTGCACCTTGGGAGACCAAGAGAGATGCACCTGCAAAGGAATCCCACAGCCCCGCAGCAAAGATGGCTGGGCCCACTGACACCACACGCGTTCAAGACCTATTCCTCTCTCCTCTGTACTCCCAGGTCCAATGCCCAGTAGTGTGCCCCACCCCACCGGTCCCTCCACCAACCTTTCAGAACAGCCTGTCCTTCTCACACTCACCCAGGCACCCTGGATTCACCACAGCCAACCAGCCTGTTCTTTCCTGCTTCTAGATCTCTGCCTGTGCCACCTGGAATGCACTTTGTTTCCCACTTAGAAAACTCTTACTGCCCTGGCCTGGTGGCTCAGTTGGTTGGAGCATTGTCCCATATACCCAAAGGTTGCAGGTTCAATTTCTGGTTAGGGCACATACTTAGGTTGCAGGTTCAATCCCCGGTTGGGGTGTTTATGGGAAGCAACTGATCATGTTTCTCTCTCACATTGATGTTTCTCTCTCTCTCTCTCTTTCTCTCCTTCCCTCCCTTCCTTCCCCTCTCTCTAAAATCAATACACATATCCTCTGGTGAGGTTTAAAAAAAAAAAAAACTCCTACTCATCCTTCACAGCCCCAGCTCCAAAGCTCCTCCTCCAGGAAGTCTTCCCTGACCACTCTACCCTAAGATAGAGCCTTTGTTCCCCACTCTGGGCTCCACCCTTAGTCTAAATCTGTTGCCCTTGAAGGACAGGACTCAGGAGCCCTGACACCAGAGTCAGCCATACCAGTACAGTCCAACAAACATTTGTTGAAACAATCTCTTGATTGTGTCTTTGTGTCTGACTACAAACTGTTTGGTTCCTTCTCCTACCATAGACTCTTTATATCCTCTGCTCCCTCCTTGAAAACTGAGGCCTGAGACTTGAGGGACAAGCGCTGATAGTGGAATTCCAGACACTGCACACCCAGCTGCAGAGGGGGATGTTTGGTTTTCTTCCCTGCACCCTCTGGAACCAGCTCTTTGCAGCTTGCTGTGGGTAGGCTGGTAGGCCCAGGAATGGCTTCAAAATCCCGACCCTCAGGAGTCCTGGGATGAAGGGAGGTGGGAGGGTTGTCCAAAGGGCCCCAAGGCAAGGGGCTGAGGGTGGGGAGAATCTGGCAAAGCCACTGACATCCGCCTAGACCAGTCACGCCCCATTGGGGCTTCCTCAGCCTGGGGCACTTGCAGGCAGACAAAGAGTGTCAGGGAACAGAGAGGATGTCGGCAGGGAGAGGGCAGGGCAGGCAAGCAGGAGTGAGGAAAATCAGGGTCCAGCCCCCTGTGCCCCTTTCCAGGCCCCTGGCCCAGCTCCCTGGATCTGGGCTGCTGGCCCAGCCTTGCAGGTAACCATAGGCCCTTTAAGCAGGGCCAGCGCCACCACAATACATGCTGGTGCTTCCTGGGGAGGGGACAGGGGTGATAGCAACTCCAGGGAGGGCCATTTTCCCCTCCAATCCCGCACTAAACCTGCCCACCGTCTGCAGCCCCCAGGGTCTGATAAATCCTAACCCCCACACCGCTCCTCCTGGGAGAATTTTGAGACTATCCTGAACAAGACAATGCCTCTCTTAAAAAGCAAGAAAGAGGGCACAGCCGCTTCTCCTTCAAGTCCAGGTTTTGCCCTTAAGAATCACCCCCCCCCCAAAAAAAATGTGTTCGCGCCCTCTTGTGGCTGAACAAGTGGCTCCAGGAGCCAAGAGAGCCGGGCCCTTACCGGAGGACACCGTGTCCCCGGCGGCGGCGGCGGCGCGCAGGGAACGCGGCTGGAACGCGCCACTGACAGATGTTTACTTCTGCGTGCAGCTGGGCCGCGACGGCAGCCCCCCACCCAGGGCATGCGGGATCTGGATGCTCCCCACTGCCCCTCGTAGACCAAATGGCAGGAGAGCTCGCCCTCTTAGAGGCTGGGGAGGGCATTCAGGCTGCCCCTGCTCCCACTCCTCTTCAGACGCACACATGGGGGCCAGGGAAGGCAGACGTGCGCTCTCCCCGTCCGATAGGGACTCCCTCCCTGCCAGATCCTGACTTGGAGAGGCGTTTAAGGTCGCCCTCCCCACCCCGCCCCTCTGCCAAGCGCCGACCTGTTGCCCCTTGACCCCACCCTCATACACACGCGGGTTCTGGGCTCCGGCAGGAAAGGTACTGGTCTACTACGAATCCCTAAGAGCCCCCCATACTGCCGTACATGGGGCCGGTCCTCCTCTCACCTCGGCCCCTTGTGGGCCCCTCGCTTGCCCCTGCTTACCTGCTGGGGTGCCGGACTACCCGTCAGTGGTGGCCGCGCCTGCCGCCCGCGCCGGCCCCAGCCCCTGCCCCTGCCGCCGCGACCGCCATTCGGGCCGCCTGGGCCCGTGGCGCCTGGGGGGGCCCGGGCCTGAGGGGGCGGCCGCGGAGGGGGCGCGGCGCGGGCCGGCCCATGGGGCACCCCCGGGCTCGCTCAGCCGCGGGCTGCGGCCATCCCGGTCCGGCTGGGGCTGGGGCTGGAGGATGCCCTGGACGGCCTGCGGCTAGAAGGGCGCGGGGGGCGCACGGACGGCACAGGAGACCTCGGGGTGCGGCGCGGGGCTCCGGGGCGGCAGAGCAAGGGGCCCGGGCGCTCTGAGCCGCTCCAAGGCGCGCTCTCCCGCCGCCTCCGCCGCGGACCGCTCGGCCGGCTCGGGGACGGAGGCGGGGCCGGGGGCGGGGCCAAGGGCGGTAGCTCGGGTTTCCCGGGACAAGAGCAGCCTTCGCCCCGCCCCCATCCGATGGGGCCCAAGGAGCGCAGGTGGCAGGGGTCCGGGATCACAGCGCCCTCCTAGACGGCGATCTCCCCGGGCCCCGGAGAGCTCCGCGGCGCTCCTTTGGAAAGCGGATCCCAAGGCACCTTCTCCCCAAGAGCCCCTCCTAGGATAAGAGCCACAGTGCCCCGACGCCAATGCCCGCGGCTCCTAGTCCTCCCTCCCCCCAACTACACGAGGATCTGGCCTTACAGTCAGGCTCCCGGGTCCTTCCTGGTCCCCTTTCGGAAAGCAAAGCCCCAAGAAGTCCCCTCACCAAGGAAGCCCCTGAAGGGAATCCTCTGATCAGCGCTCCCTTCAGTTAGCTGTTTTCCATTCCGGGCGCCAGTGACCCGACGGTGCATCCTCAGTAAATCCGGGGCTTCAAGACGCCCCCTCCCCAGATCCCTCTCTGGGCAATTAAGAGTCACAGTATTCCTCCCACCCCAGTAAAGATTGAATGGTCCCCTAGTCCCGCCCCAGGTCGTCTTTCAGGAAAGCTAAAAGCCTCTCCTGAAAAAGCCATTCCAGAGAACTAAGATCCAGTGTTTTTTCCCTAAGACAGTAATACCCTACGACTGACGACTGCCGTCCACAGAGCCCCCATCAAGTGGAAGTTCCTTCCAATCTTGCCCCAGGGCCCTGCGGGGTATCTCCTTCCCACAGCTGGCTCCCGACGGCGCTCTTCAGGGCACCAAGACCCAGCGCGGCTCCCCAACAACCAATGAGCCCAAATCCACTGGGTCCTCTCCCCGACGGCTCTGCGTTCCCAAAGCGCCCCCTGGCGGCCTCAGAGGACTAGAGGAAGGGAATGAAGGGGCAGAGTGGGCGGGACTGGCACCGGGGTGGCTCCACCCCACCCCGGTTTGTTAAGGAGAAACACCTCCCTGCAGCCCCGCCCTCGGCTCCTGCCCTCAAGCTCCTCCCCGCACGGTCCAGGCCCGCGCCTGTGTTCTTGGGGTCTGGTGCCCAGGTTTCTCACTCCGGCCGTCTGATTTCTTGGGGTCTTCTCACTCTGGCCTAGGCTGCTTGCGTTCCTCTAATCCCAACATCTTGGGGTTAAGAACATTAGGCTCTAGTAGGACCCCACTCCCCACCCGCAACACCCTTACACCCATGGGGCCCATACAACTTGCATGTACACAGTGATGGGGGCCACTCAGGCACCCTGACCCTGTTGTACATGAGCTCATGAGAGTTTGAGCCGATTGGGTGTGTGCACAGCGTGTGAGCACTGTGTGCTGCACGTGCAAGCGGGATGTAAGTGGCAGTGTGACTTGGGGTCAGAGTAGTAGTGGAGCCGTGGCTGCCAGGTCCCACCCAGTCCAGGATGGAAAGGACAGGTGTCTGTGCTGTGTGGCTTTGGGTGAATACTTTGCCTCTCTGTGCCCCAGTTTCCCCACCTGTATTATTACCAGATTCTCATAGGGTTATAGAAAGGACCCATGCCAGGTGCATGGTAAACAGTGTTTAAATATCCGTCATTGTAGGTGTTGCTATGTGCTCACTTGCAGAGACACCCACACCCTCAGAAAGGAAGGGCATGGTGCAGTTGGCCACACAGATATTCCCCAAACCTTTGTTCCAGGCAGAATCACACCCACTGCCATGCCTGTTCTCACATGTAAGTACCTTCCTTACATCCACAGCGGTCACAGCCGCCTACATCCTGCCACACGGACAGGGGCTGATGCTCACGCTCATACAAATATTCTCACTTCACTCCCATTCATGCACACTCATGCACACAGACGCAGAGCTCACACTGCTCCAACACATGCACACACATGATTCCCTATTGAGACACAGTCCTACATGATATTCATATATTTACCATCAGCCCACTGGCCTTCAGAGTACCCGCAGGGGTCAAATTAGGGCTGCTGGTGCACATGCATGCTCATTTGGCACATTGTTACACAACTCCCATGTTGCCTGGTGCTGGCACACACATTAGCACACATACACTGAGCTCACACAAAAAACGACAACACTCACATGCCATCCTAAGCACAGATTGCCGACACTACAGCCACACATGCAGAGGAACTGTGGAGACACTGTCGCGTGTGCACACACACCAGTCTGGGAGGCACAGCTTCCCTGTACACACGAAGCCCTGCCAGGAACTCGCCCCCACCCCTCCAGCCACATTAAGCTGTCACCAGCTGCACCGTGGCTGCCTCCTGCTCACCCCACACTGCCTGTGCCCCCTCCCCCTATGGTTGGAGGCCTTGGGGGAGGGGTTGTTCAGGCACATGGGGAGCAGGACACTCACATGTGCCCACCATGTGGACGCTCATAAAACGGTTGTCCTGGCAACAGCAACTTAAAAGACTTGGTTCTTCCTCTGGGGTGGGTAGGACGGAAGACAGGGGGTGGGGACACCAGGATCCACGCCCACCTTCCACCACAGGCGTGTGTGTCACACTCAAGTATACACACACTGATACAAACACATGTGGAGGAAACCCCATCACACTCACACCCTAGAGACCCAGCCCTCAGGGCCAGCCCCACATGGTCACATGAGACATAGGTGTGACACCCTGACACACCACTTTGTCATGTCCCACAACCCAGCACCCCCGCCACTGTCTGTCACCAACCCACACACTGCACACTATTTTGGTAACACAGAAACCCCGTCACACTAGCTGACTCACACTGCAGCCAGGAATTAGTGTGCACGAGGGCACCTCTGCCCTCCAGCCCTCACCCCCCTCAAGGAGTTGTCTGGGCCTGGCTGCCCAGGAGGCCGAGGAAACTCAGAGGGTGGTTCTATGTTCAGGAAACATGAGTGTTTACAATGCTTTATTTTTAAACCTTCCTCGTCCCACACTGGGGCCCCTGCAAGGCAGAGCGGGTGGAACTAAAAGTGCAGCCGGTGGGTCTGGGCTGTGGCCTGCCCATGGCACGGATGTGCAGAAACCAAGGGGTGGCGAAGAGCAACTGGCACCCATGGGCACCTGGACCCTATGGCTGGTTTGAACCTGCTGGCCCCAGGGTCAAGGCTGAGGCAGGGGTGGGACAGCGCAGGGCAAGCTGGAACCTAGGCTCTTTCACATGCCTGTGGTATTTGTCCAGGAATTAGCTTTGTTCCTTCCTAGCCTCCTGGGATGCCTCTCCCAGGTAACTCCAGGCAACACACCCCCCTCCCCAGCCTGCTTCTGTGCCCACTTGGCAGTTTTGAAAGGCAAGAATCAGAGAGGTCGAGATGCTGGCCCAAGGTCACACAGTGAGGAAGAGACTCAAACCTGGGGTTGGATGACTCTACAACATTCAGCCACTTCCTATAGCCACTCCTCCAACCCTGTCCCCTGAGGCTGGCCCCCTGCCTTCTCTGGGCAGTCACTGCTCCCAAGGGGAGTGTTCCATTCAAGAGTGGAGGCCCATGTAAAGGTTGTGGGAGGCTGGCAGCTGCTGGCCAAGACTCAGACTTGGCTGGAGAAGAAGTTTCCATCTTAGCGCCAGGAGCTGGTCCAGGTCCTGGGAGCCCAGGACTGCACTTCAGGACCCCCAGGGACCAGCCCTGTGGGGATGAGATGGCCTAGCATCCCCTGTGCCCTCTGTCCGTCTAGCTGTCGCCAGCCAGAGCATTAGCCATTTCCACACACTAAGCATTACCCCATCCCTCAATGTGCTGGTGACCTAGCTTGCTGGGCCTCAGTTTCCCCATCTGTGAAATGGCTTCCATGTTAGTTTTGTGCCCAGCACAGGCCTTCAGTGGTGGATAGTGTTGCTCTCCAAAAGGCTCCCCAAAACTAGGCTTCAGAGCTCTTGATGGGACAGTCACCCTCACCCTGAGCTAGATGGTGCTGCGAGTGGGGAGGAAGGCCTCAGCACACTGACGAGAGACAGAGCTCGACAGTACACCCAGCTGGGGTCAGAGCAAGGGCTCCTGGGGCCAGAGGAGGAGCCGCCCAGCCTCAGCCAGGATGAGGCCTTTGAGGCTTGTGGGCGGCAGGAAGGCCCGGCCTGTTCCAGGTGAGGATGGGAAAAGCAGGAATGGTGGCTGTCCCCACAGGGGCCATTTACAGCCACAGGTCACAGGTTCAAGGGTCCTATCCCTGGAGGCTCTGGGTCAGCATGGTGGGAAAGCCATCAGGGTGGCAGGAAGGAGCTGGGCGGGGGCGGGCCCTGAGTTGTATGGTCACCTGCAGGGCAGGGCTGGAATAAGGAGCTTCCTAGGCTCACAGAGGCACAGACCCTCTCCCACAAAAGTCACAAACATGAACACACCGTCACACACACAGAGACACAGACACACCCCAAAGTCATTCATACTTAGCAGTAACGGCTGCAAATATATATATACCATCACACACAGAGAGATACAAATGCAGAATCCACAAATGTGCATACATAATCACATATAGACACACAAAGCAGCCGCAAATGTGCACTCAGAGACATGCAATAGACATACAAAAGACACACATGTTCATACACACATAAACATGCTCATAGACACACACAGATACCTCCCTGAAGTCATTCATACTCAGCAGTCACAGCTGTGAATATGTGTGTGCACCATCACCTCACATGCACACGCAGCAGCCCCGGTCACTGGGGTTCAGCGGCCCTGCAGCACATCCACCCTGGCACCAGGCTCTCGGCCGCCCGCCTGCCCTGCTGTCTCACATCCTTGGCCCCGAGTTGCCCTAATCCTGGTCTCGTGTCCTGCAGCCAGAAGATAAGGGGTAGCTGCAGCCCCAGATAAAGAAGGCGCAGCTACAAATCCGAGGGGGCCCTGGCAGCAGTGGGCACTAAGCCCGGCTGTACCTGCCTCGCTGCTGCCAACACCAGCCAGCCGGGCTGAGAGGAGTGAGAGGGACTGAGAGAGAGCAACAGGGAGTTGGAGGAGAGGGAGAGAGACGGAGAGATGAAGAGG